TACCTGACTCGTCATGTCACCGAGCCTGAGATTGTTTTGTCGTTCTTTGTATAGGGATTGCTGGATCTTGCTCTTTCGGGCCTCATCGACAACATGGATTATGCATGTAAACACAGCCCAGACTGGGCGATGATCCGAAATTCGGAGATCTGCAGAGCCATAATTTATTTGTCGGAGATTGGTTCCTCTCCAAAGAATCCGGTCACACCATGCGGGAATACGCGCCTTTTCCCTAATAAGCGGTTAGCTACCTTCGAATATATCGCCAACGGTGCCCTTACGAGTTATCATAGTCATTCCTACCGATATTATATTTGTAAGTCGGCGGGAAGCTAATAGGCCCTTCCGTGTAGAATTGGAAAGCCCTACCCGCCACCATCTGTAAGTTCAACTGGGCTTTGTTAATGAAGGTCCACGAGCCTTGCAAGAGAAGCACAAACCTGATCATTATCGTATAGTGTCTGAAAATCTTTTTGCTGCACAAGCTCCCTCGCTTTCTGATTACTCAGACCAATGCGATAATTGAAGTCCCCTAGCCATATGACAGCATCATGGTCCTCGATTGATCTGTTCCTCAAAAACCTCAGACCGCGAAGAATAGTCTCATAGTCTCTATTCCTCTCGTCGTAGTTCGCAAAGCCAGCAGCAAGATGGGCGGTAACGAAGCAAAGTCGAGTGTTAGAATATTCAAAGCGGATGGCACAGCCTCCTTTATTACCTGCCATTCCCGAAAGGCCCGTCTATGCGGGTCAGCTGGCTGCCTCACAGAGTACTGATGATTCATACCTTTTTAACGTTTCCCTCAACATTTTTTATATCGCTTAAAGCATCTTCTCTCGCATATATCATCAAAGCAGAGCCCACAAGTTGGCCACTTCGCAAGAGGACATACTTGGGAGTTCCCATGGCATCTGCACGTTTGTTGAGGCAGGTGTGTACTGCAATCTCCCACGCCTTACGGGTGGTAGGGTCTGTGGACATTATCTGCTGTGGACTTAACGTGACGATTTCTTGAAAACCGACGGCGTAAATCAGGGGGTCCTCGGCCTGAGAATCGTACTTTGGGAATAACCATGCCCTCAAATCACCATCGGGTCCTTCATGGCGCCCATTGACATTAAATGTTCCCGTCCAAACCGTGACAGATTTAGAATAAGAAAATTCCTCAGAGCGTTGACTTAGTTCCTCTAACACGAGATCATTGATCGGGTCGTAAAGATGTACTGGAACTTGGTCTGTCAACCGTCCCAATAGAAGATCAATTGTGTTTTGACGGGCCTTGTCCGCGAAGTTGTTGACATAGATCCGGGTAGCTGTTTTGCGCGCATCGGCGAGTGCCCCAGCAATGGACATTTTCCCGTGTCTTGTGAATGAGCTTTTCAGAGCACCAGTTCCAGCGTACATTTTTGATAGCGCATCTCCATTATCTGCCCAGAGAGTCGAGTGGCGCAGTTGCAAATCGGGGCTAATCGTTCCTCCTTGTTGACTGAAGAATATTTCAAGCGCCATTGAACTGATGATTGTTTGTACTAGGTTAGTCCTGTCGAGACAATCCAGACAATTCGTTCTAAAAACCCCCTCTTGTTGCAGGATTACAGGAGCATTTCTTGACGCATGGTGCTTGTCATATAGAGCTACCGGTCCAATTTCGCCGGATTGAAAATATGCGAATCCTTGTAAAGAGTCGAAGATTTCCTGCCTTATCTGAGCGCTAGCTCCATATCCCAATGGCCCTCGCGCTTCCGCATGGAAATCGAACTCTGTTACCTGCAGCAGAGTGTGATCCGATGAATGCTTGTTGAGTGGGCTATTCTGTAAGTGGTTCCGGAACCTAGTCGTGAGACTATATTCACCGGGCTTCAATTCACTGAGAAGGTTAACCACATGAATTGCTCCATAATTTAGTTCAAGAGATCTGAAATGTTTATCGAAGGCATGCTTCGTTGCCTCAACAGATCTGGTTATCTCGATCTTTTGCTGACCAGGAAGGAATCCTGTGGCCTGCTCCCAGAATATAGGCACTGAGCCACGAACCTGAACATAGGAGAAAACAATGTCAGGTGGAATCCAGAGTATGGTCTCTGTTTCCACGAAATTGGCGACGTGACCATCGTCATCGATGCCTCGTGAATTGAATCTCGTACCAGCACGCCGAGACGACTGGCGCGATATTATTGTTAATGAAGACGGAAGGTGCGTTTTGCGGGTACCAGGCAAGAGTTGAGTAGAGGCAGGAACAGTCAATGTCCCACAGTATCCCCGTATGACGCACGTCAGAATTTGAGAGGAGTCGAGATGCTGCTTTTCAACCGAAGACAGCTGATTTCTGAAAAGGAGAAGTGGGTGTATCATGTAAGAATTCCACAGCATGTCTCGATCAAGAGACTCTATGTCAAAAATCCCCGTTTCGTCTGAGCTAGAGTTCATCAGTTACGGTGCCATTTGACAGAAGGGGTTAACTCACCGGTCCTGCAATCTATCAGTAAGATTGAACTCACAGCTGTAGTAGAAGCTGCCGTCACTTAAAAGCTTCTTTAGAGCTAGGAAGGGAAAGTCTGGATTCGTCTCTTTGCTCTCAAAGTTAAGGTCATGGTCGAGGTCCTGACCAGCGATGGAGGACTCCGATTCGTAGTCAACTCTGTCATCGTATTTCGAATGATTTAGGCAGACTTCTCTTTAAGGTCAATTTCTGCACGACAGTGACCAACAGAGACCACTGGGGGCTTACAGAAATCCACACTGTGTATTCTCAGGACAGTCTCCCCAGGCCTGATGGATGCGGCCTTGGAGGAGCCAGTGACCACGCACAGAAAAACCTCATTATCTAGTGTAACCAATCCGAGAGTCCCATGTCCATCACCAATGACCCTATAACCTTTCAGGTCCACAGATGATAGGGGAGCAAATTCAACCAAGCAGCGCGGCGTAGTCTTGAGATGAGACGCAGTGTTGACATCCGCTCCTGCCAAGCTATGGCGAAAGATAAGTACGTATTCAGATGTGGCTAACGCAATAGTACGATATGGATAATTTTGAGTATAAATGCGTAGCCCGGACATTGTTAACATATGACTGGATCCTCCTCGGTCCTCATGATGGAGCGCTCAACTTAAGTCCAGATTGCAGGAAACGCTTCGGTTGGCACTCAAAGCTTGGCACTCTTGCTAACAGCATTGCGGCGCGGTCTTTAGTTTGCATGAGCGAGGGCTAGCAAGAAGTGTTGTGAGAGGTACAGCGATAATGCAAACTTTGCATTGAGACTACATCGGTATTCCAGGACCGAATCTTGCCTACATTGCAGGTAACGCAGAATCTATACTGATACGGATGCAATAGCCAACAGGTGTCTGCCCATGAAAGCTGACTAGAACGGAATTCAGTGGCTACAGGAGACCATATGCTGTTCTACATATCATGAGTCTCAGTAAACTAATACCAACAGCAACTTCGACGGACTTTCTTCTGAACAACTGGGAAGACAGAGATACCTAGTGACACCTAGTGACACTTGTGACTTCGGAATCTTTTCGAGAAATTGCGGATGTGAATTTGGAGGAACCCCGCAGTATCCATTTGCCCCAGGTCGAGACCGTCTGCAGTCACCGAATAAAGTAAGCGGTCACGGTAGGCCGTCGGAGGAAAATTTTCAGGTTTCTTTTCGATCATTATCAATGTCATGACTTCTCTGTTTTACTCCTCTTAATTACCATCCTTGCTCTCAATCTTACGAATCCGCACAAATTTGCATAATCTTTGGCGATAGAAAGAAGAATAAAAGTCCGTGAAAAGGGGCCAAAGAATCCTAGGAATCCAATTTACCTACCAAAAGGTGAAATAGGGCAGTGGAAACCGAAGTGCACTTTCACTCTTTTGTTGTTGAATTCTTGAAATCGCTGCCATACTCTGTCGCAGCAAATGGGGCTTGCAGCACCTCGCAAGTATGTTTTCACGGATTATTTCTATGTCCTCCACTATCTACCTTTGCGGTGTTCTGACCAGGCAGTGACCTAGGAAAATCAAAATCTCCCATGACCCCAATAATACCAATTGGGCACGGTCAACAAGCGGTTTCGGACACAAGATCTTGAGCTCCCAAGGATGGACACCCGGGAGCTTCTTGGGGGCACGCAATGCCGCACATGCTGAAATGTTTACTCAAGCGAGTGCATCTCACATCAAGGTTGTCCTGAAGGATGATACACTGGGCCTAGGGGCGCGGCCTAAACGTGATCCTTTAAATGAGCCCACTGGACTTGATGCATTCAAGGGACTTCTTGGCCGGCTAAACGGCAAGTCAGACGCGGATTTGCAGGTCGAGCAGCAGAAGCGCGACAACGTAAAACTGGCTCGATATGCTGCCACGAAATGGCAAGCAGTCACATTCATAAGTGGCGGTTTGCTAGCTCAGGAAAAAATGACCCCCATTGTTACTAAGGAGCCGCAAGGAACCGAAAAAGACAAGCCAGAGGACAGACTTTCTGCTCCGTTACCTGCGCCGGACAAAGATCAAGTGAGCTCTGATGGCGTTGAGGGTTCAAGCAATCTTGGAGATCAAAGCGATCACCAAAGCATCAAGAAGAAAAAATCGAAATCCAAGAGCCATCGGGAGAAGAAAGACAGAAAAAGGAAACACACTGACGGGCCTGAGTCCACCGACTCCGGAGATACGAACAAGAAGTCAGCAGAGGAAAAGAGTAAAGCCACAAGGGATGACGAAGAAAGCTCTTCAACGGCTTCTAAAGGCCCGTCGAGGGAGCGGCGTCCGATGGGGAGACATGTTTTTAGAGGCCGACATATTGCGCAGAAGAAAGCGGCTCTCATGGACGAGAAGTCTCTCAACGAGGTGAGAACCGAACACTTTGATGTTGTTTTTTCAGATCGCAGAAGCTAATGTGTTACAGATATTCATGGTCAAATCATAGCGCCGTATATATCTCTTTCATGACATACCCTAGACTTATAGACATAGATATACTCCTTACTGGTTTGGTTCGGCATTTCCTACAATCGTCCATAACGACCCTTGACACGACTCATACTTGCATGTAATACATCTAGGTAGACCGGAGTCTTTGGTGATTCAGGCCAGGTGCTGTGTCGTTATAGATTATGAGGCGTAGGGTTCGCATCAAGCAAATTTTATTGCACCAGAGCCTAAATATTCTAGGTACAGGCCTTTTCTTCTTTGTGGTTTTTCGGGAGAGGGAGAGTGGGAGGGAGGGATGGAGCGGGAATATGGCATGCGCATACTATGTACGGAGTATTATCAATCCGTCCCTTATCCCGACGTACTCATTTTTCATTGATAATCAATCATATACAACATATATAGAATTGAACATCTCTCTATGAGATGCTGTCAGACTATTAGAACAGCTACAAAGACACAAATATACCAAAGCTAAGGAAGGTGACTATGAAGTACACAGTAGATAGCCAATTCAATTTGAACAGTACCTTGGTACGAATTGGTCCTACTAGTCGCTACTTAGTTAGTATAGTATACACAGTAAGGGAAAATGACGTGGGGTGCCTGCCCACGGACCCACAACCTAGAAACCAACCCCGTCCTGGCAGCAACCTAGTTGTTACGTAGTCTCTCACGGTCTCACCACTTCGACGAAGCATCTGCATCTTCTAGCCGCTAGCTTCAAGGCTTTTGGGATATATTCACTGTCTTGGGCGCTATCGAATTATTTGGCTCTCAATCATTACCTGGTACTCAGGTGATGAGCCCACAATTGAAGCCCAGTCAAAACAAGTTCGGATCCTTTGACGTGTTCATCATCCAACTCCAGATAAATATTTCAGAAGCGGTGTCTCGGACTCGCTCTGGTCTATTTTCTACGCATCCGGTCAACGGATGTCGCCCTCCGATACACCACCAGGCCTTGTTCCATCTGGCCAGGAAAATGCAGCGCTACAACCTACAGCTACTGAAGGGTCTCTCAAAGGGCTCTGGAAACGAGCCAGTTTGCCATACAAGGCAAGGTCGTCCGTAATGCCTGATGGTGCTGCTCCCCAAGCAGCCCAAGAAACCATGAAGGAGTCAAGGGGGCCAAGGTAGATATCCCATGCGAGATTTCCCCCTCGAGTCTCGGTCTCTAACAAGCGCTCTTCTAGTATCCGTTGGGCCCCACTCAATGTTGGACTCGAACGGCGCTTACAGACTCTGGTGGTGTTATGCCATACTCTGACCATAGCGATCCTGTTAACAGCATTTTTCTTTGTGTGCGCAATCCCCTTATTCTGGCCTATCATACTGCCTTACCTTATCTATATATCCCTTTTTTCAACGGCAGCCACGTCGGGTGATTTGAGAGGTAGGTGTGACTTCTTACGTTCACTCGGCGTGTGGTCAATATATGCATCGTATTTCCCGGCCCGCTTGCATCGGTCAGAACCTCTCCTCCCAACCCGGAAGTATATTTTTGGTTATCATCCGCATGGAATCATCTCTCATGGCGCTTTTGCAGCGTTTGCTACCGAGGCTCTTGGTTTTGCAAGACTCTTCCCTGGTATCACCAACACCTTGCTTACGCTTGATTCAAATTTTCGAATTCCCTTCTACAGGGAATATGCGCTAGGCATGGGGATTGCCAGTGTCTCGCGCGAGTCATGCGAGAACCTGCTATCAAAGGGCGGCATTGATGGGGAAGGAATGGGACGTGCTATAACTATCGTCATAGGTGGTGCTCGCGAGTCTCTTGATGCTCTTCCGCATACATTGCGCCTTGTACTCAAGAGGCGTAAAGGTTTTATCAAACTGGCAATTCACACTGGCGCCGATCTTGTGCCTGTACTGGCCTTTGGTGAAAATGATCTCTATGAACAAGTGCGCTCTGAAAACCATCCTCTTATACACAAATTGCAGATGCTGGTCAAACACACATTGGGATTCACTATCCCGTTATTCCATGCCCGTGGCGTGTTCAACTATGACGTCGGTTTGATGCCATATCGTCGGCCACTCAACATTGTTGTCGGTCGTCCAATCCATGTTGTGCAGCAGCGTGATAGGGGGAAGATCGACGATGATTATATAAACCATCTCCATTCCTTGTACGTGCAGGAATTAGAAAGAATATGGGAAGAGTGGAAAGATAAATATGCAAAGGATAGGACATCGGAGATCGAAATCGTTGCTTGACGAACGCTAACAGCGACATTTATCGGAGACAAAGGATGGGGTTTGTTCTGTATCTCTATCTCTATACATATGCTTATACATACTTGTGTCTTGATATTTAGGTTATTAGGCACATAAGGTTCCAGGTGAGAACGGAATTAGGCTCAAGGTCTGACTATATCTATTATTATTATTATTATTATCATTATTAACCAGAGGGCTCCAAACGTGTACCCGTCTAAACCTGTCTAGGTTCTATCAAGGTTTTACTCAGTTGGAATGCACCAAATCTTATAATCTCAGTACTAGGCTGTTCATTTTACTTACATGCCGAGCAGCAGTGTTTTGTTAGGAGAATGTATTTATATAGTGTTTGTCTAAATACCGCATGATTGCATGTTGGATACACCCTACTACTCCTGCCGCAGAGAAGTCCATTGGCAGGAAAGGTATGTTTGACCACAAAGTCAACTAGCTGTATCAACACCTGTTCAAATAAAGGCCCAGGTATATTCCAACAGTTAGACCTAATCCACCTAGAACCAGATTCATGAAACAAAGATCCTAAGTCACCATTCCCATTCCACGATATAATGACTACTATTGGTTGCTATGACACGGTCCCAATCAACACTTCTCAAGGAATATATGTCCAGGCGGAACCTCTAGGGACCAGATTAGGATTCTCCACTACAGATCATTGGGAATAAAGGTTTGGAAAGGAATGATTATGTCCTTCTACCCTCTCAACGTATTTTCATTATGTCATTACCAATCAACATGCCTACCACCAGGCAAGCGTAACAGGAATATTGAGACAGAGAAATGGATGAAAAGGAAGCACAAGACGAAGCCAGAAAAGAGCAAGGGAAACCGGGTATCTAGATCAGTCCACACAAAAAAGGGTATTATAGAAAGAAACGTGGAATGACAACGAAGAGGGTGCGAGGTAAGGCAAGACGGAAGAGGTGAGAACCATGAGCCAGAGATTGTGTGCTGAATGGCGCGTGGCGGAAAGGCAGTCAAACCACAGGCATACTGCCTGCCCTGAGCAGGATTATAAAGGACGTGAAGAGGAAAGAGTGTCCCGCGAAAAGACGGGCCAAATTGAGAACAGAGGACGTAATTAAAGATTTCTGGCCTCAGCCAGAGCTTGCCAAATCCGTAGTGCCCGTGCTCAACCCTGGCAAACCGGTCATGGATTCAGATGCCCGCCGACTTTCTGCGGCAACGCGAACACTCCCACGAGAGCCCTTGATGAGGTGCCCACTCTCAAGGTGGTCCTGTAGCATCTCGTCCAAAATGCGTGACACATCGTCCATGCCACGCCTCTTTTCTTCCGTTTCTTCCTCTTTGAGTGGTGAACAGAGACCAACGGCCGAGTCATAAGCCGCTGAGTCATCGCCATCGGGTTGATGTTCCTGACGCCCGGGTCTTTCTTTTGTGTCTGACACGAAGGAGTCGGCTGCTGAATGGGCAAGATCTCGGTGTCGAGCAGCAGAACGAAGGGCAGCAAGCATCCGGTCCTTATCGTCTAGTTGTAGACGAAGCTCATTGATCTCCATGTCTTTCTCCCGTAAAAGAGCTAGTACATCAGGGGCGTCGGAAGTAGTGCCCCCAGCCTTCACACCTATGGACATGCGGGAATGACTGGACCGTCGTGCTTGCAGAAGCCGCCGCTCTAGAGTAGAGATATAGCGATTCTTGTCGTTAAGGTCGGCCTGAAGGGCTGCGATTTGTCTTTGGGCGCTTGCTTTTCCATCCGCAAATTCGCCAATAAAATCATCCTCCTCTTCATTCCCAAGATGAACATTTGAGAACGGTTGATTACCGGGGTAATCACTGCTGTTAGTAGAAAGAAAGGAGACTGGTCGGAGCGACGAGTGCCCGTATGCGCCTAATGTAGACTGGCTGAGTGACGAACGCAAGGATCGAGATCCAGTTTCGGTAGCCGACATCCTTGAAAGGCGACCAAGAGCGGATATGCTTCCATAGGTATTTACACCAGTAGACTTTGAACATAGAATCAAACGATTCAAATGCTCGATCCTTTCCTTTAATGCTGTCCGAGCCAGTTGCATTTCAAGCATTTGCTCTTCGTGGCGTGCATGTGCTTCTTTTTCGAGCTGCTGCTCTTCCAGCTTCAGCTCCTTCTCAGCTTGGGCCTTGGTCTGACTCTCTAACTGGTTACGGAGCGTCTGAATCTCCATACGGTACCGCTCCAGGAGAACTCTGCTTCCAGCATCACCACCACCACTACCAAATGCTTCCTCCGCGCGTTTAGCATGGCTGACAATGCTGTTCTTGGCTCGAGCTGCGAACTTCAAGGTGTTGAGCGTTTCGCCGGAATGAGACTTGGCTGTCCCTCCTAGCTGAACCGTGCAAAGAATACTGACCAGTGAGTTCCCTGACAAAGCAGGCTGCAGTAATCTCGTGAGTTTGCTGTCCCGATATGGAAGGTGCTTCCCCTCTTTATCAGTTGGGTTGCCGGTCTTATCTCTTGCTTCCGATAGTTTAGAGATAATAGTTCCCAAAGTAAGCAAGCTTTTGTTAATATGGGCGCCTTCCGTACGCCGTTCCTTGTCCTCAGCAGCGCGCTCTGAACCAGCAAGATCGATTAGACTCAGCGTTGACACTCGGACTCCACCTGGTACCAAGCCTGACCGTCTATCTTGAGAAGCTCCGGCAGGCACTCGTTCCCTGCTCTCGACAACAATTTGAACAACCGCGTGACTTCGAGAGCTGCGAGCGTTAAACTGCGTGCTACCGGTCCGCCTAGCATGGTCGCCCCTCGCGATCACACGGAGAAGCTGTGTAGGGCTTTGAACAATCTCTTCTTTCAGTGGCGTGGCATATACACCACGTTTGCTGTCTTCACGGAGCTTGATTTCCTCCTGTTGAGGGGCAGCGGTTCCGCCAGATACCGAGGCTGACAGCAGATCGTGAATTTTCTCGTTGTATATCTCCAGATAGCTGACACGCAACAAGAACTCTCGATGTGGTGTTTCCCTAATGAAGGAGAATATGTCTGTTATTGCCAACGGTATCACTCCCGGGGAGGTTGCAGTTCCTTGCATGGAAAACGTCTTGCCAGTACCAGTCATGCCGTAAGCGAAGACTGTACCATGATATCCTTCCATTACCCGCCTCACTAGACGTTTCGCTGCAGAGTCGTAAATCTTCGCGTTATGTTCATGAGGTGAGAACACATTATCTAACGAGGAAATAGAGAAGCGTAAGCCACGTATTCCTTGCTGTGCCCAAAGAGGATACGAAGGATATTCTTACCAAACGAATAATCGCCGCCCTCCTTTCCGTTATAAGAGATGAGGCCGTGCCTCCCATCTACTGACCATTCAGGGGTCTTTGCGGTTTCGGCACCATTCACATCAGGGCGTACTCGGACGCTCACGATGACATTTCCCTTTGTCTCTTTCGGCCTCGAGTTTGACTTTGGTACGCCTTCATCGGCATCTTCAAACGTAGTTGCACTAGTTGAGTAAGATCCTTGCGCAGATGAGCTCCTGCTTTGTGAAGGGGAGCCTTCCGCATCTCGAGCTTCAGTAGTCGAAATGGATTTCGCATCCCCAGCGCCACTCAGCAACGATGCGGTTTTAGAACTCCGGTAACTACTGGTGGTTCCAGTACTTAGTCTCGAGCTTTTCCTGCCCTTTACACTCCCAGATGGATGGACGACGCCCTGTATTCCCGATATTGAAGATGCAGTAGAAGGGCGGCTTCCTGACCTAGGTGGCTGAGGAAACGCTGCAATGCTGATGGTTCGTCGCAGCGATTTATCGGGGCTACTCGGAACCCGGCTACCGGCCACGGTCCGCGATGTGCTAGTATTGGTCATCGAGTTAGACAGGAGGTGTCGTCCTAGACTTGCTCTAGGGCTAGAAGGGGTGCGCGTCTTGAGGGCCGTTTGGGATGGGGACGGCGCCCTTGACGTGTCAGATGCAACAGGAAGGCTTTTCCGTGACCTAGGAGCTGGAAATTGAGGACAGGGCCCAGCCGAAGAGTTAGAGGCCGTCCGCGACGAAGGCGGTAAGGTCGACATTCTCAAGTGACTGTCTGTTATATGAGGCTTATTATAATACCATGCGGTGTTGGCACATGGACTTATCAATCGGTGTTTCTTGCGGCGGCCATCCGTATGTGTCCGGTTAAAGTCCGAATTCGCGCCTATATTAGAAGATATGAATCTGTTAGACTTGGCAATAAGAGGCTATCAAAACATACAACAACATCACCAGATGACTGGCTTTCAGATTGGAGTGCAACACATTGTTACGCGTTTGTGCCTCTGTGGAAAGGAGCTTGTTTGATATGTGAAGAGACAGGGGGGCAGTAGAACGATAACAGGTATACTCGGCTGTCAAGGTCCAAGCTATCGAGACTCACCTTGCTTTGGTATGAGGCAGTTCCGTCTGTCGAAGGCCGATTCTCAAGTCGGACGTTTCCGCAAATCGTCCAAAGACTAGTAGGATGTTGCGGGCTGAGATAAGGGGACTGTAACGTAAACAAGCGCCAGCCTTTGCGCACGACACAGATGTGTCCGAAAGCCCTTGCTGGCTGGGTCTCTTGCAGCGTTGGGCACGTGTGTAGGTTATGGGCCGACGTCAATTATCCCGTTTCAGCCCTGGCAGGTTTGAACAGGCTTCTTTCTTATTACGACAACAGCGAACTGGAGACCGGCACTGCCAAGTGATGGATGGCGTTTGAAGAGGGGGCGCTGATCGGGAACGTTAATACTTGAGAAGAGGGCCTGTGTGCAAATCAGACATGACCCAAAGAATGGCTAGACAAGTAATTAATCGCTTCAGATAGGCAGGATACCCAGTACGCCGCAATCCGCCTCGAACGCGAGGCGTTGGGTTGAAGGAGGCTCCAAGGGTTGGTCCTTTCAATCTTTAGTGCCGCACGGGACGGGTAAAAGGCCGGGAGTCAGGTTATGAGGGGCGTAGTAGCAACTTAACCCACTTCCTGGTTAGAGCAAGATAACTAATTTTTTTTTTATTCATTTACTACTTAGACTATACCGTCGTACAGTGTGATGATGCTGGTAGTAGTTGAAATCATTACCGGCACCAATGAGTTGACTGTTGCTTCCACCGGTACCGTATAGCATGTAACCCCAGTATACACCCCTATGTGGTGCAGTTTAACCCTCTCGGACGGTGGACCTTTCTGGAGCCTGAGATACCGGCCAAAAAAACTAAAGCTAATCAGGGATCCAACAAAAATATGCGGGAACTTTGTATAGGATACCTCCTATACGGTACTACCTGGAAACTTACAGTAAGTTATGGATCTATACCCAAGGTGCCTAGGCACTCGGATGGGGTTTCTTAGTAGAAACTCAATTACCGGACGATGTTTCATCTAGTGCTAGGGCTCAAGTATCTTAAGATTTAACTCGAAAATTCCCCTGGTAATTCAAGTTGTCGTATTCGACATCAATACCCATCCAGTACCAGTGTCACACTATAAAACAAAGTAAAGTAGATGTGTTGCCCAGACACATTGTGCAGTTTGGAACTCCGTCTCTACGTAAATGTATATGCGGCAGTTCTAAGTACTTTCTTTTGAATTTCAGCACCACAAATTTGGACATACTTAGCGCAATGAAACAATTACCTTCCCATTGCATCGTTTTCACTGATTATTCCGCAACACGGTCCCTGAATTCCCAAAGGGTAATATTTTCGGATGAGGCACTGTTCTGTCATCTCGAAGTTAAGCAGTGACAGTCCGAATAGAAGTGCAATGTCTGTGCTGTGTACCTAGCTGTTAAAGGAGATTGAGCATCAGTTGCTGTCTCATTTTTAAAACCCCTCTCAAGTGGAAATCCTGTCGGAGGGACCAGACGCTAACAGACGGAGGCCGTCTTTTAATGTTTAATTAAACCTCCGTAAGGGGCTTTGGCGTCTTTATCATCTGTAGCAGCCATCCACTTACCAAAACGCATTTCACTTCATATTATTTATTAATACTGCCCTATATTCCCTTCAAATACTTGTCTCGAAAGAATGAGGTGGCTAATTTCCTTGCCCGATCCAAAGGCGGCTGAATAATATTTACATGTGTCCTGCAGGATATGATAATTTCCATCAGATGCAGTGTGCAGTACAGAACACTTATGTTCCCACGATAGGGGGTGGGCTTTGTCGATCAATTTCTCCATGAAGGTATCAATGTCGATCCCTGCTACTGAGCGATCCTGCTTGCGTTTCCGCACATACGATGCCAAGAAAACAGCATACACAAGCGTCAACCCTTCTAGCCACAGAGCCCGTTGGACGAACACATGCACACAAGAAATCTGGGGGATTTCTCCTTGTCTGAGACTTATGTGGAATAATACAGCTGACCCCTTCGAGTCATGATGGTTCCGACTCCACAACTGTTAAGGTTTTGACGATCACATGAACCCGCGAACCATTGAGCGGCTGGTGTTAATTCGACAACTTTCTGCTGAACTTGCAACTCTTGATTGAGTCCGCATCGATTTGCGATAATCACTCAGTTACTTTGTCGCTAATCTCACCCGCATATCTGGGCGCAATCCACACTGTCGATGAGCGGGTCTTATCTCAAGACATGAAGTTCACCAATGATGGGCCGATTGCCATGTCCCTTCCTTGATGGTGTGGCACAGGTCGACACTGTGGGAGATCAGCGCCCTTTTCCTGCGTCGGATGAATTTCTATATGCCTCAGGATACCTGACATATATTGTTGCTCATCCTTGAACTCTGTATGACTCGGATATCCCGATGAACTTATGTTTAATTTCCCCCGAACCTTCTGATCTTTGACCAATGGCATGGCACAGTATCCTAAGGTACCAGGAAAATGCAAGTATGACCGTGTGCGACTGGGAAGAGAAGACGCACATGCGTTTATCAGTCCCTTGCCGCGCCAAAATCCAATTGTCGAGCGGCATTTTTAAAGGAAGTATCGTCAAGCTCCCCACCTCGCCTCGTTAAATCATCGCCCATTTTTTTGGTTCCGCCAACTTTTCTAGGAAGATCTTGTTTCTTGGTTGGCTTCGGTTCCGCAAGCCACCAGCCGTGTTGTAGGATTTGGCAGGCGGTGCCTCGTTTTCTGGGATCCAGGGTACACATCGACATGAGCAAATCTGCCCCAACAGGCCCAGCCGTGGGAAACTGCCGGAGAAAGAAATCTCGACCTTGTAAAGGCACAATATGATTCGGATCGGCAGGTATGTAATTCGGCAATCTAGTCACGCCTGGCCAGTTCTCCTCAGTTGGTGTCCCGAAGGCTTCGCAAATCTTGGAGATTTGATCCAAGTCTGAATTCCCTGCGACAAATGGAACCCGTAGAAGGAGCTCAGCAAAAACCATTCCCATGGACCAAACGTCGACAGCTCCAGAATACTGTCGCGCACCGAAAAGTAGCTCGGGAGGTCGATACCAGCGTGTGATCACCTGGTGTGTCATATTCAAGTATGGGTCGGCGAACGACCTGGCCAAACCAAAATCTGCCAGCTTGACCTCGCCGTCAGCGGCGACTAGAAGATTGTTTGGTTTGATATCTCGGTGCAGGATGTAATTTTCATGACAGAACCAAACACCCCTGGCAAGCATGCCCATCCAGGCTTTAACATCGGCGGCACCGTAATGAATATTGCTATCCCTGATGAGCATCTCAAGATCACCGCGTGGCAGGTATTCGAGGACCAGATTGAGGTTTTGATCCTTGGACGAGAACACATCGTGGAGTGCAATTATATTTGGATGAGAAAGCTCTTGGAGATATTTTACCTCTCGAATAGCGTCCATAGAAAGCCCATCTTTGTATTCAGCATTGACCTTAATCTTCTTTATTGCAACAAATGACGATGGGTCGGTGCGGAGGTGTCCAAGAAACACTACAGCATAAGTTCCCTCACCCAACTTCTTATCTGTGATTTGGCCATGATTAGTATCGTAATGCTGGCACTACTGAGATAGTAAGGGAAAGAATTATGGAAATGAAAGAATACGTTTGACAATGGAACTAAGGCAAGTGATGGGGGTTCAGTACCTTTTATGTACTTGTGCCTCACATCGTCGTTAAGTTGCTCCGTGATTTCACGGTCAGGGTTCTTCATGCGCTGGGGCGACGATGAGCGCTTCGTCTTGTTAGGTGGGTTGATGCCAGAGTCATTCTCGAACTTATTGCCTGCATTTGAGCTTGAAGCTGCAACTGATGAAGCGTGGGGGACCAAAGGCGAAACCGCCATCGTCTGCTTATATGCCCTCAACCCAATGGATAGGGAGAGAATGATTAGTATCACCGGCGCAGCAGCAGCATGCCAGAGAGCGAAGACTGATGGGCAGGGAAAGTTAACAGCCAAGAATGTCGGTCTGGTTGGCAAGATATAGCACAAGTTGCCTTGAGTATATATGAAGCTAGGATCAAAGTTCGGAGTTTTGTTGATCCCGGGACTTGCCCCGGAACTGCGCATCCCGCCGAACTTTTCTCCAGGATGGTCGGGACCGACAGCGAAGGCATCTAACTCTTAACTACGCTACCAAATCCGGACGATTATCAGCGACGGGGAAGGGGCCCGATATTTTTATTTTTATTTTTTTTTTTTTTTCATTTCCGTACCCTCCCAGATCTCGTGTTTTACAAAGAATTGTCGACACTCTTCAATCCACATCTCCGAGACCGCATCGGTTGTCCTGAAGAAACCCCGACGACAAAATGGCGACGCGCAGCTCGCACCGCTTGCCCTTGCAAGTGATGAGATCCTTGACGACAAGCAAACAGTTCATACGAAGTTTTCATAAGAACACGGGCGCCCCTTCTCTGCCGTCACCCACTCCCTTTGTTCCTGATGTCGAGACTTTTCTTAAGTTGATCGGTCGTGGGATGCACAAGCATGCGAGCAAGCTACCTTCCTGGGATAAGCTATTCACTTCCAGTTCCTCTGAACTTCGGGATCTAGGCATTGAGCCAGCACGCCAGCGACGTTACCTGCTTCGCAAGATGGACAAGTTCAGGCAGGGGATCTATGGGCCGGGTGGAGACCTGGAGAACGTGGTCGATGGCGTTGCGCAGCTTCGAGTTGTTGAAGTTCCGACACTGAACAAGGAGACATCGCACCCTTTGAATTCCTCGGCTACTTTATCTCCAGGGATGAAAAGAGTCATTGTCAACATTCCGCCGGATGCTTCTGAATATACCCATGATCCCACGAAACCCCTCAAGAAGTTTGCGCGCATGAAAATCACTGCCGGTTCTGCTATCAGCGGCCCGTATCTTCAACCGATTAAAGGAACAAATGGTAGTGCAGCCCTAATCAAAGTCGAGGAGGGCATGTGGGAGGACAAGCTCGGCCACAAAGTGGACGGTGGTGAAAGGAGACGTGCTGAAGTTCGGGCTAAGAAGCGAAGCGAAGAGAGGAAGAAGGGAAACTAAGGACCACGACACAGAACACACACATACTTGTCTTTCCCACCTCTGTTGTATCTTAAAGGGCGCTTATATTGCAGTCATGTCACATGTATTATATTTCATAGATTAACGGTTATTCCGGTTGTTGACACTGTTTTCCATCGCGTTCAGGAAAAGTATTATATTTGTGGTAGGATGGCTGTCCCATATAACGCCTGTATGGGACAGTTAGATTGGCTATAGATACATTAAGGCTTCTTCAAATGCGAGCAAACCGCGTACCCAGAATACAATCTCACTCATTGTCAACCCTAGATCAAGACATTGGATTGAAGTACTGTACAAGCAGCCATTACATGAGAGGAAACCGGTCATTAAAGCCCCAAGGGAGAAACATAAGAACAATTCCATGAAAGACTGTTATCCAGTCATTTCCATCATATTACATAAGAGGTTTGAGAACAATCACAAAAGGCGGTTCTATGCAGTAACAGAGGCAGGTCGTTATGATTTAACGGCGGTAGCGCGCTTCTCAAATTGAATGATAGACTTGCCAGCAGGCTTGGAAAAGAGAGACTAGAATTGGTCAGCCTTGTCAATCGTAGCCACAAAGGTCGACGCATGCTCGCTTTGAAGATAGCGTGACTTACCGAGTAGTCTGTTTCCGGGATATCCTTGACGTTTGGCAGGTTGCGGAATTTGAATAACCTCACCAAAGCCGCGGTAATTGCACCAAGCTGCACGTAGGCGAATTGTTCACCAATGCATCTGTGACGTCCTGCACCGAATGGAAGGTAGGGGCTATTAGTGCCTTTGCTGACAAGACCATATCCATAATCAATTTGATCTTCTTCTTCCGCATTGGCTGCAATAGTCTCATCCCAGCGGTGAGGATCCCATTTGAGAGGGTTAGGGAAATATTCCTCTGATCTTGCGGTAACACCAGGCGATGAAAGGACATTGTGACTGGTTGGAATGACATATGGCGTGCCATCCACAGGCATTGGGTTTTTGACTGCGCGGATGATTGAATGGATCGGCGCGTGAATTCGTAGTGTCTCTTTGATGACCTTAGCGTGCAAGTCAAGCTTCTGCAAATTTTCATAAGTAAGAGGTGGAAGATCTGACCCGAGCACACGGATCTGTTCGGCATATAACTCTTCCATGATTTCTGGATTTCTTGCAAGGTGCAAGACTATCCATGAAGCTGTCGATGAAGAAGAATGCTGGCCAGCCATAAGCAAGGCAATCATCATGTGTGCGATTTCCTCGTCTGGAACAGGAGTGCCATCTTTGTAAACGCAGGACATGAGGTTCCAGACCATATCCTCAGAATCCTTCTTGTTTCCACCCGTACGGCGTTCTTTGACAATCTCCATATAAGTTTCGGTCATCCTTTTCTGTGCAGCATCACGTTTCCGGTTGTGAGGAAGGGGTGCCCAAGGGAGCATGAAGTTGATAGGAGCAAACCCCATGTCAAGATCATGGTATAATTCGGCGAAAGTAGAATCGAACCGACTCCGGACTTCCTTTCCTTGAAGAGAACGTGACGCAGTGTAGATGGTAATCTCTGCGATGGTTTTGCAGACGTCAAAAACGCCACTTGATCCCTGGAAAGCCGCAGAATGCTCGACAAAGTCATCTACCTCGTTGGTGATCAAACGAACGTACGAACGCAGGGCATCTGATGTGAGACCGAATTTGACAAACTACAATCATCAGTATACGTGTCAATACTCTCTCCATGCTCAAGCTCACCTTCTTCTGCTCCATAAGTTTGGCATTGGGACAATCATACACCACGTTACGCCCAAAGACAGGGGTTGTAAGTGGGGAGTAGACTTCTTCAGCACAGACATCACGTAGCTTTCCGTTTAAAATGAAATCATTGCCCCTGGTTCCCAGATAAACTGTTGTCTTTTTGCCGAGGAGAATGAAGGTGAAGATATCGCCGTACTGTAGGTAGACACGAGTCAGCATAAAAACAAAAGATCGATACTTTCATATTACTAGTCCATACCTTTGCGCGACAGTCGAAGAAGAATTTATAAGGATCCATGCCATAGCTAATTGTGCTACCTATGAATGGAAACCAGTGAAACACCAGAGGGGGCTCATTGGGGTTCTTGAATAACAACTGTCTTAGGACATTGAGAATGATGGAGACAGCCAGCAGGGATGACAGTCCGATCCCCAGGAGTACTAGAATTGACGTGTTCGAGCAGCGCTCGCAGAGGCTGTCGAGAACGACCGCGAGCAGGCCCATGATGGGACAAAAGCGGAAACAGAATGACCGGAACAGACAATTGGAGTGAGTTGTGAGTTGGTTATGTTCACAAGGGAAGAATGATTAAAGCAGAGGCACCTTCCTAGCCCTCGGCGTGGAAGCGCGACAGATGTGTGAATTGCTTGCAACAGCGCAGGAAAGTGCACTTTTGGGTAAGTACAAGCAAGAGAGAAAAACGGCAGCACGCCACTTGCCAGTAAGTGAGCGCCCTTAGTAAAGTACTACTAGTAGCCTCGACCCGCTCACGGATTCTTGGTGGGCGTACCAATCTGAACGGCTCCGCGCCCGCGGCTCCTCCCCTAGCAGGAACTGGACAGTCCAAAAGTCTGAAAGGTACTGGTACGTACTACCCAGCCGCTCCTCCGAGTGGATCCAGGCCCGTTCCTGCCCCTGGTACTCCGTACGTACATAGCTGCACAATACGAAATACGCATTTCGCTACCCAGTTACTCCTAATTAGTAGTTAGAATCTAACTAGTGGTAGTACTCCATACTAGTACTATTATACGTTCCCATTGTGTACTAGGAGCGCCGATTCATCCTACCCTCCCATGCTATACATTGTGGAGTATATGACTCGTCCTAATCGCTCTGTTTTTAAAGAGAACAAGCCCGACACTCACTATGTAAATGTGTGTGCCGGATACGCAACCCATCGATGCAGGTAGGTCTTGCATACCAAACAAGTAGGATTGCCCGTCTATTGAGGAAGCATTCCCTTGCAGCAATATGAAATCAACTTTCTCTCTCGCTCTCTTTTGAGGGGGCCCTTCCTTGGTTCTTCTCGGATTGAACTCGCGCGTTTCATTGTAAAAGTAGCCATCGTATGATATTGGGCCGCTCTTGGAAGTGTCCCCTGGTTAGTAATTGAAAGCTAGTGTGTTTACGAGGTGAAGCTCCCAAGTCTATGTATGCTGTAGACTGTCAACTCAGGCTATTATTACTCTAGGTATTAAAAGTCGATTAGAGAGTAGAGTAGACTTATGCCTATGCCTTCAAGTACTTGTAAAGCGCGCTAATGTCACCCAGCCAAGGAAGCGACAGTCCCTGAGAAATACACTTAACCCGACCTTGGTTTCTGCCACGGTCCACATACTCAAGTCGATGGCTTCAGAGAATCTTCAGTTGCAGAAGGCTATCTTCTCTTCAGTTACGCCCATTTTTCAGGTTGTCATCGAACAAAACTGGATCACCTTGTTCTCCAAGGTTGGCGAAGTTATTCGGGGCACTTTTCTCGTTAGGGGATACTTCACGCTCTTGTGCATTCTTTGCTGGATGGTTGTGAACACGTTTCCCAGCATTGTTTTTGTGGAAAACTTTGACAGGAGCACCACTTTTCTGCTCATGTTCACTGTAGCCAACATCATTGATATTGCTGAGAAGTGTCCTTTCGCGCGCTAGCTTTCTTTTTGAGAAGTCTAGCTTTCCCAAAGCCCCAGTCAGGCCGTCTGTGCTGTCAGAAACACTAGGCTGCTTTCCTGTGATCCATGGGTGCTCTAAGCATTCATCCACCGTAATTCGGTCGTCAACGTTAACTGTGAGCATTCGGTCTATCAGATCCAATGCCAGATCACCCACAGTGTCCCAATACGGAGACGGATAGTCGAAGCTCCCTTGTTGTATTTGCTGTGCTAAAGTGTACGGGTGCTCAGGTGTGTATAATTCGTCAGAGAATGGGGGAAATCCGCAAAGGCATATGTATAAGACGACCCCGAGAGACCAGACATCCACAGCCTTTGTGTATTTCCGATAGCGCCGCTCCTGTAGTATTTCTGGCGCGACATCTACAGAATCAGTATTAATTTTCTGGCTTTCGAGCGGATTAGAAGACTCACAGGTTGGTGTGCCGCATCTTACCAAATATAATCGTTAGCACAAAAATAAAAATATATGGGAGTACGTGCCATACAGTGTGGTAGTAAACGAGTCTTCACCGATAATCTTGGCTAATCCAAAATCACCAAGTTTCACTGTCAATTCTTTGTCCGCGACCAGAATATTTTCAGGTTTAATGTCACGATGAATGATACCTCGATCGTGCTAACACACTGCTTTAGTCGCTACTATCGAAAAATAATGGGCATGGAGGTGGTAGAACATACCAAATACTTCAGCCCCTCAAACAATTGGCCAAAGATGCAACGAGTCTCACTTTCTGAGAATTTCTGCCGGCTGATAATCAAATTGAACAATTCGCCTTCTGGAGCGAGTTCCAGGACAAGATAAACGCCGTCGCTTTCATCGAATGTATCTCTGAGGCAAAGCAGATTCGGATGACTGACGCCCTTCAAGATACCGATTTCCTGATGAAGAACTTCGTTCTGGGAGCGCTGCGAGTCACCAGAACGTTTCTCAAAAACTTTCACGGCATACTGAGCCCCCGTAGACCGTTCTACGCAAAGGTAGACTGTGGCGAAATGGCCTTTCCCAAGCTGTTGCAGAAGCCTATATTGTTGGCGGAAACGATTGGTGTCTCGTGTCCGAGGATATCTGAAAACAAAACGTGCTTCATCTAGGATGGTGACCTCATCGCCATCTTCAAGTTCACGGTGTTTATTTTGGCCCACCATTGCATCATTGACAAAAGTACCATTAGTGGAGAGATCCTGGAGAAAGGCAACGGCATCGCCTTTCCTATTTTCGGAAAATACCAAAGCATGTCGATTCGACACAGTAGGAATGTTTATCACCAGGTCTGGTAAGCTTCGTTAATTGTTTGTAAGACAACCTGATCTGGATACCTACCGCATTCAGGGTGTCGGCCTATTAGGTAGCCGCTAGGTGAATTCTTTTGTTTACTAACGGAACCCGCACTCGTTTTCGCGGACCCTTTCTTGGAGTTTGTCGTAGATGCTGCGGATTTGCGCTCCTCGCATCCTCCGCGTTTCCTCAGTACCAGAGGACGGCGGACCTTATCATCAAGCGGAAGAAGGTATCCCCAGACTCCCTCTGCAGCTTCGTCTTCGACTTCATCGGCAAATGCTCTAGGGGGGTAAACAAATTGAGAAAGGGCTTGTGTATCGCTAGGAGGTGATGAACTATCTTGAGGGAGTTCCGAATCTGAAGGTGTCCGCCGATGTAATTTTCGGCCAGGCTCATCTGGTGTAGCAGTCGTCTCCTTTTCGATGTCTGTGGCAGTTGAATCTCGTTGGGTCAAGGGTGTAGGCAAATAGGACTGATCGTCTAAAGCCTGTGCTTTGCTTTGGGGATTGTTCCTCTCGGAGCGTCGTGGCTTTTTAAGATCTTGTGAATCATTATCGGCGGAGGCCTAGATGTTTACGCCATCGTCAGTCCAACTAGTCACAAGGGAATTAATGGTAACAACATACTCTGCCACGCTTGAGGGAGCTTTTTTCGTTCTGTGGTGCCATTTTATTCCCTATTCACATCCTGTCAAGTACCAATAGTCACAAAATCAGCTTGGCTTGCACGGCTCAGAACTCAAAAAGGCATAGCAACCAGAGTAATAGCACTGCAGATATCGCCGGGTCTCTCCTATGCTTCGAGGCTAGGGGGGAAATGCTCAAGTGGAGAAGTCAAGAAGGTATGTATGAACACTGGAGAAAATACGGGCGAGCAAATCAAAGGGGCAGCAAGAGAACCGAAAAAGTAATTTCACTGGAAAACCTAGATTTGGCTAATGCAAAGAGGTAGACAGAGCGATCTATTGTAGAACAAATCGAGGCTGCAGTGTACATAGAAGTAGGTTACAAACAACCTTGAGCGCGTGGTAATTCAGCTCCCGGTATGGGTAGGTCGCACCAAGCAACACCCTACGGCTTAAGTCGTCATTTATCATAAATACTGTCACCGCTTTCGACCCAGCACCCCTCACATTGTATAGATACGTGTGGAATTAAATTGGAGATGAGGGATATGTATACTCATAGACAATTTACTTAGCTGAACATTTCTGCCTCTCAAATGGACTTTAGCATTCTTGACTCAACCTACAGGTTCAACGCCTAATACTTGAATACTGTAGCACACGTACTTTGTAGTTGGTTCTGAAGTTGACTCCGATGTCATCAATTGAATAACAAATGAAGTAATACCGGCTTTGACATTGAGCGACTTTTGGTCGCTAATGAAATTGGGTACCATTTAAGATCATGTCGCGATTGATGGGTGTGTAAACTATTATATAGTTATGGTATACATAAAAGCTTACACAGTAGAGAGACTGCAGGATCTGAGTGGAGATGATAGTATACTATCATCAACCAAACACTGCATAGGAGCATAACTCACTATGTAAGTGAAGACGGATAGAACTCTGCATGAAATCCTTATCGGCCCTTGAAGTCTCTGGAGGAAGCATTGAGCTCCCCAAAGAGACGCCTTCCCCAGATGAAAGCTAAACAGTCAATGTTCATGAGTGCAACACAGAAGCGTTGAGGCCCACGTGTCTGCCGTACCGAGGTTCTCCAGCTCCCCGTACTCCGCGGGACGCTAACACATAATCTCCTATCAAGGGGCTCCCCCTTGCTACCTTTGGCAATTGACATTAGTGCTCTGGGAAACAACAGTTTATTCGTCACCACACGCACTTAAAGCCGATAAACGCTAACTAGCTGCATTAATCTGGGACTATGGATGGGTAGGCTAGCTGCAAGTCTAATGGTTAAGTTTTGTGCTGATAGGATCCGTAGCCCCCCGACTATCAGAGCTTCGGCTTTGAATAGGCTTGCGGCATTAGCAGTCAAGGGACCAGAATGCGGCAGCGATTCAGACATCGCACGACTCGCCCAGCAGTCACTATGCCCCGCACACCCGTCGAACGATACCCTTAACGGTATCTTGCAAGCCCAAGCTCCTACATCGCGGGTGCCTATGGTTCGTTAGCTCCTTTTCTCTGCTTCGTAGGTGGCTTCTAGACTGACCTCTTCAGGGTATGAAAGAGCTAGACGTGCTGGTTGCTCTATGTAAAGCGTCCCCTTCCGTGACCAACATCGAGCATGCTTCGAGACTGGTATCACTTTTGTCACAATACCTTCCCGAATCGCATAGCCAACTTTTCCGACCTTCACCCTTTCTTCACAATGTGAAACCTTCGCCCTGGGAGAGCCTGACTCATAATCTCACGTTGGCTCTTCTCTCCCTGGGTTCTAGCCATCCACAGCTGCGTAGCATCGTGGCCGGTGCTTTCAATGAGTATCTGAGCAATTGTGCCGAAGCTATCAAAGCAGTTGCGCCCCTTCATCACTACCAAGCAGAAGCAAACAGTCGGGATGCCGAACATGAATCAACCAGCGTGCTATCGATATCCGCCTCACTTGTCGGCTTTCTGGGAGCTTCGGCTGCACTCTCTTCGTTCTGGGCTCCAAGCGAGAAGCTTCATTTAGCCAACAACTTGCGGTCGATGCTCTGCGAGCGGTTCTTGGTAGCCGTTGAGACTGCCTCGTCTATTGTGCGGAATGGAAGCATGCCTGGTTATCTGCTCAGGGAGTGGAGAAAATATACTCGCCGTTATGATGCCGATGGCCGTCCTCTAGGGGCTATGTTGCTCCAGGAAGGTTTCATCAGGTTCATCAAGTCATGCGTTACACGTGCGGCCGACATAGATGGCACATCAGGTGTCGAGTTTTCACACGATAGCCTGCCTGAATTAGGCACCGCTACAAGTTCTGACGACACAGAGATCGCTCTTATCGATCGGGTGGCAGCCATCATCGCTGATGAAATCCAGCTCCTAGAAGATGGCTCGGATTATCTGCAACTTGGCTCCCCCTGGAAGCAACGACTTGCTTTTTCCATGAAAGCCCTAGCTCTAGTTGGATACTTGAATTGTATCATCCTGTGTGAAGGTACAACGAATACGGAAGACTTTGTATCATGGCTAGAAGACACACTTATGGATCCGAGACAGATGGCTCATGCTGAATTAGCAACAGCGGTTCTGACAAGCATGGCAGTCGTTTCGCGAGCTTCTATAACGATGGCATCCTCAGGGAGCCGCTCTTTGTTGAGATTCATCGTTGAAGGAGGTGCACCGACCGGTACCACCGGTTCTATTGCAGGCAAATGCCTTGCACATGTTCTCGGTGGTCTATCTCAAGATTCTGTTATTACTACACTCTACTCCCTAGGGAATGTTCTCAGCTCTGGCTCAGGGACCGACAAGTCGTATCAAAGCCACATGCTTGGGGATAGTCCCGCCCATGGAAATACGCCTCTCGCATTTCCAACCACCAGAACTGGCAGTGTGGTTTCGTTTTCAGGTGATGACGAATCAAATAATCTTTCGTACAAAAATGTCGTCCGAGCTATTGTACAGATCGCAGCCAGCTGCAATGATGAGAAAATAAGCGCTTTGGCCCAGTCCATGTTGCTACAGAAGATTGGGAAGGTGAATGCTACTATTGACGCTTTTATCATTACGGAAACAGCTGCTATATCATTGAGTAACGGGCAAGCCGAGTTTCAGCTCCTGCTCAAGTTCTATGATCGAGCATACCGTGATGGCATGGCCAGGGGCTATAACAGTGTTACTGATGCTGTTAAGAGTGCATTGGCATATCTCTCTATCACGTTGAAAAGAGACTCACCACTATACGGTGTATATTTGGTTCATCTGCTGGAGAATGTCGTAAACAAGGGCGATGCTACCAATCTCGAAAGTGAGAGGCAGAAGGAGCTTGCTCTTGCAGCCGACGAAATCGGTCCTCTTCTAAGGCCCTTGGCTTTGCTCGTGTCGTCAGACCAGAAACAGCAGGATAGTGCAGATACTATCACATACTACGATCAGGATGTGTCTGCTCTATTCAGGGATGCATGGTTCAATATCGCAGTACATGGGATATCCATGCATTCAGCTGTTGGTCAAAGCCATTTTGAGGAGCTGCGCTTACTTGCCAAGCACTCTCCTCCCCTTGTCTCCGAAGATCGTATGGAGGCAACGGAAAGCGACGTTGAGTTGAACACAATCCTTAGGCGAGGAATGGGCTCACAACGTTTGCAAGAACAGAAGCGAACTCTCCTTGCTGAACTCCCTGGCCACGAGGCCGAAACAAAGCGATTAAGCTATCCGCAAGTAGTTTTCCTCAACGCTACGATCTTGGTCGAGAAGTTTCGTGCGCTGTCCGGCAAATGTACTGGGTTCCTTGATTACTTCCGCGACCCGGCCATAGCTACTACAGAAATGACCAGCTGTATGAGTGCGATTGCAGAGAAGGTAGTAGCCAGTTACCTTTCGCTGACGATGTCCGGAACATCCGAAGGCTTCTCTGTTGCTTATCTATCAAGAGAACTAGCCGGCTTCTTTATCGCTTGCAGTCATCGTGTTGAAAGGGTACAGAACGTCGCTGTACTCTGTGCTAACAAGATCATAAACGAATGTCCATCGGCTCTGTGTGAGAAGCACTCCCTTTTCGCTTTGCTCGAGCTTCTGACCGTCATGTGGCGCTCATGTCTCGAAGGAGAACTCGATGAGTTTGAATGGAATCCGTCATTCACTTCACCCACAGGTTTGGTCAAAGCCGATCTACCCGACAACTATAACTTCAGGAAAAGAACATTAGATGTTCTGCTTGAACGATCTAAAACATGGGTAGCGGCGGCTATGGATATTGCACCCTTGGATGTAAAAGGCCTGCTCCAGGTATGACATTCTGCTATCGAAAACTCCGGAAAGCGACTGACCCACCTTGTCAAGACATACCTATCTCTTTCGGACGACCATGCTGGATATGGCAACATTCTGTTGGGGCGCTCTTTCGCGCTTGAGATGGGATCGCTTATCCCGAGCAGTGATCAACGTCTTGGTAGGACAACACTTCGGTCTTGACTCAGCTACTGTTTTTCTAATGTTCCATGTTCTTCCAGGTTCAATGGATAGCCACGGCCTAAGCAAGATAAATGTCGCTTCCGACTTCATTTCTCAGTATTCCACTCGTCAGAACTATAGAACTTTGTGTGCACAAAGTGTCAGTGGCCCAACGCAGGGACCTAATGGGCTTGGTGGTGGGTAATATTTCAATTTGTGAACGTTGAAGGTGCTAATATGGGATAACCAGCTCATAATCTGCTTTCCGGGTCTTTGCTATCTGCAAATAAAGTTATGGAGGATACGCTGTATCAACTCAACGCACGATTGAAGTCAGGAGAAGTTGTCCCTACCGTCGCTGTTCGGGATGTGCTACGGCAAGCTGCGGGCCTCCTGTGCAGTGATAATGATCCTTCTGCTTTCATTGCTCAGTACTTGGTTCAGATACCTTTTGAGATATTCTCGAAGGAGTCGATGGACATTGGTATACCCCTCTGGCTCGGAGTAATGCATGAGAATCCGAGAGTGGAGTCCAAAATCTTGGTAGAAGTTATTGGATCCTGGGAAAAATCGATTCAGCGCCGAAAGGGGCTGTTTGACCTAAATTGCAAGTAAGTAAAGCTCGTCTACTAGCACTTTCCGATTCAATGCTTATTCAAGGGTACATAGCTACGTTGATCCAATGTTCAGCAAGATCGAGCTGCTCCCCAGCGACAAAGCTCTGATGGCGAAGAATCAACAAAAATCCCAAGGTATCCTGACACCACATTTCCAGCTTCTGCAGTTCTTCGAAAGTCATTTTGCTGCTGTCCGGCTTGCAAACTTTCAGGTCAAGTCACTTTTCGGCCGTTTTGTTGATAAAACAAGTGTGGGACTATTGCAGGCCAGTGGTCACCCCCTGGCCAGGGAACTACATTTTCGTATTGTCTTGTTTGGACTACGGGTATTGAAGGACTCCCGGTTACCAGACCGAAATCTTGAGTGGAAGCTCAAGGACCAGATTTTGTCCGCCGCTTTGACTTGGTTTAGACATCCACCGAGGTACGTTCCATCTGGTTACTACTTTTAAATATTCACACTAAGCTCACTCATGTGTAGGTGGTCGTTCGGTGGCAACCGGTTACAGATCAAGGCCGAGGACAGGATCCTAGGAGACGTTTCTTCCGCTCTAGCAGATATCGCTGGAGTTACTGGTCACAGTCGCAGCTCTTCTAGGACGCTTCAAGCAAGACAGGAGCTTCTCCAGATCCTTCTGGAGGACGAAAGGTCACGCCTTAGGGTTTGGCTTTACCCCTTGGAACCAGACCGGAAACATAATATGGCACAGTCAGCTGCAGTCAGGGTGTTTACGGAGGTATGTTATCCTGTCAACGAGCATACTGCTTGATGCCCGTGATAAACATAATTGCATTTAACACCTCGTGCAGGATGCAACCAATCTACTACGTCTGGCGTGGTCCGAAGCCCCAGGGTTGGCCATACATCTTTCTACCCGCTTCCCGTCTACAAAGTTAAAGAACGACATCCGGTGGTTACTGCTCAACTTTCCGGACAAGGCTATTGACGAGCCAGATGCCCTTGAAGTCCTTTTTGGGTCTGCTCTTCCTGCCGACGTCCATAGCCAGCTGAAGGTATGCCAATCGTCGCTTAGGTTTTTATGATTCTGGACTGATGAGGATAGTTCCTCCTATACTGGGCCCCTGTCAACCCTGCCGAAGCCCTGACTTACTTTCTACCCGCCTATGGAAACCATCCCTTCATACTGCAGTATGCGATGAAAGCCCTGGAAAGTCATTCAGTCGATGTTCGTTTCTACTTTGTGCCACAATTGGTCCAAGCTTTACGATATGATGCACTGGGCTACGTAGAAAGATATATCATGGAGACAGCGAAGTTGTCTCAGCTGTTTGCGCACCAAGTCATATGGAATATGAAAGCCAATTCCTACAAAGATGAGGATTCTCAGATTGTGAGTGCAACCGAGTGTTATCTGTCAATGAACTTATTAACGAGTAACATTAGCCGGACCCTCTCAAACCAACACTGGACAAATTCATGGATGCTTTGATCTCAAGCTTCACAGATGAGGAGCGTGAGTTTTATGAGAAAGAATTCTCCTTTTTCAATGAAATTACGGGCATTTCCGGAAAGCTTCGACCCTACATCAAAAGAAGCAAGGCAGAGAAAAAGGAGAAGATTGAAGAGGAACTTCGTAAGATCAAGGTGGAAGTCGGTGTATATCTTCCGAGCAATCCCGACGGTGTTGTTGTGGGAATCGATCGCAAATCCGGCAAACCTCTCCAGAGCCACGCAAAGGCGCCCTATATGGCGACGTTCAGAATTCAGAAAACCAGGGCACGGTCAGAAGATGACAAAATCACTCAAAAGACTGGTGATACACGACCTTCAAATGGGGATCAAGAAACCTATGAAGTATGGCAGTCAGCCATTTTCAAAGTTGGTGATGACTGCCGTCAAGACATGTTGGCTTTGCAAATGATTGCTGCTTTCAGGGGTATATTCGCTAGTGTTGGCCTTGATGTTTGGGTGTTCCCATATCGAGTTACTTCAACGGCCCCCGGTTGTGGCGTTATTGATGTGCTTCCCAATTCGATCTCTCGCGATATGTTGGGTCGCGAGGCAGTCAATGGCCTGTATGACTACTTTATCTCCAAGTATGGAGGGGAGGAATCTATACGGTTCCAGGAAGCACGCACCAATTTTGTCAAGAGCATGGCTGCTTATTCTGTCATCTCCTATCTCCTACAGTTCAAAGATCGGCATAACGGGAACATCATGGTTGACGACGCTGGCCACATCATCCATATTGACTTCGGGTTCTGTTTCGATATCGCACCGGGAGGTGTGCGATTCGAGCGTGCCCCCTTCAAGTTGACATCCGAGATGGTTGCGGTGATGAGTGGTACTCATCATGCACACACCCATCCAGGGAGCGGCTCGGGTAGTGGGCTCGGTCTCCCCGGTGGTGGTTCTCATAGCCCTACTAGCACGCAGCCTTACAAGTGGTTTGAGTCACTGGTTGTGAAGGCATTCCTTGCTTCGCGTCCGTACAGTTCTAAGCTGTCCCACATCGTGTCACTGATGCTTGACAGCGGTCTTCCCTGCTTCAAGCCGGATACGTTGAAGAACTTCCGCGATCGATTTGTACTCGATAAAACCGAGAGGGAAGCAGCTGAATACATGCGTGAGCTCGTCCGCAAGTCGTACATGAGCGTTTCGACAAAGGGATATGACCAATTCCAGCTTCTAACCAATGGCATTCCCTATTAGACCTCATAAGCTCTTTCCATCCGGGGAACGCAGCGGGTGTGAGATCCTGCCACAGACTCCCTTTTTCCCCTCGTTTCGTTTGGCTCTAACGCTGCTCTCGGGGTATCCGCTATTTGTGAAGTCAAAGTCGATCATTCAACTCTGTTTCAATGCCACCATTCATTCTCATTGCAGTTACTTTCTTGCTCAGATAAGGACAGAGTGGTGTCCAGTCAAAGCCTTAGAAATACCCGCGCTTCTTATCCTTATCACTTTGTGTGGTGCTTTCAGATGAAGGGCAGAGCCCGACTTGTGGCTCATCGTGTTCGCGGATGTCGAAAACAATAGCTCTGACCCACTCACTTGATGCTCTATAGAAAACATTCCAATTACTTTATTTTTTACTTGCAAGTAGTTATTAGCTTGGGCCTGAAATACATATACAATGCCGTCTGGCATATATTATATAATTCTCTCGCAGTAATCCTCAATCCCGTAGGTGTGGCAGTTGAATGTTTGTATAGTTTATATACACTTACCATCTTACCTGCTATCTATACATCCAACGTATACTACATGATCGATTCGAACTTTGCCTTCTACCAGAAATAGACCAGACCACTCGCCATAACCACTAGGTTACCAGTGACTCATATGACTGGGGCGTGTTTCACATCCGTAAAAGATCTTGAAAATAAACATCAGGGAATGATTCACTATAGCCAACCAAACACTTGACAAGATCCTCTTCCTGCCTATCTTCCTTCCCACTAATGTGGTTTTCACGTGCACTCTTTATGACATTCTTCCCCGGCCTTTTCACTTGGGAATGTGGATAGTAGTACTGTAGTAGCCACGGATCTGGCCTGGACACCTGATGGGCCGACAAGATATATATGTGTAGTATTAGTATAACGGACAGATGATACACTGGGCGGCCTAAACAACCGAGTGATCGTGCATCAACTATGTATGGATGTATGAACCACGGACTACTAATCCCTAAAGTCATACAATACTTCAAGAAGTTCACAGTATTTTATGTGTAACTTTTTTTTTTTTTTTTTTTTTTTTTTTTTTTTTTACAGTGTTCACGTGGAAGAGGGACTCCTACTACAATGGAGTTGGGTGTCATGGATGTTTTTATTACACTAACGTTTATAATGTGTTTATTCCCCATTGCGTTGAAATGTCTGATATAACATGATTCGAAGGGAAAGAAAGAAAAAGAAACAAAAAAGTACTCTTGTGTCCCCAGGGAGGATCGAACTCCCGGCCTTGGGATTTCCTGAAGGTTATGGCCTTCAAGTCATACTTGTTCGTATGAGACCCACGTGATAACCACTACACCATGGAGACATGTGCTGGTGACAACCTGGCAAAAATAGTGCATTATAAGCCAGTGCCTTGTGCGCACTCATGTGATAACAGAAGATGAATTAGATAACCGAACATATAAGTGCAGCTGTACTACTACGGAGCAGACGTGAGAACTTGCCTATAGACCGTTATCAACCAAATAGTATCACATACTGTTTTTTATACTTCGGACACATAAGCTCCTGTTCGATATCCAGATGCTCCCAGAACATAAATCAGCGTTCATACGAAATAACGGGCAGTATCACATTGTAGGCAATTTGAGGGACCCAAGGATAAGAATCATAACTGGGTCTGACCAGCAGGCTCCGGGGTAAATCAAATCATAGAAGAAGATTATATCGCGAGCTAGTCCGCACGTGTACGGAATGACGGAAACTGATGCAGAAACAAAGAAATCCATAAAGAGGTGCATGCTAAAGGAAACGTTCGTCAAAGTTGTAGACCATGTCAATATCCATGCGACAGTAGGAAAATCTTTCCTTTGAGTGACTGAGCAATCCATAAGACAGCCGCCGCGATTGGAGCTGCCCGAATAAGTCCTTTCGTTTCTCTCTCTCCCCCTCGTTCTTTCCCTTTCCCCATCGACTCCTAGGTATCTGAGTTTCTTTTCGTATTTGGATAAGGAAACTCACGGCTTTTCAGTACTCTTCCTTGAAAGGGAAGGACAAAAAAAAGTTACAACAACACAAAGCATAAATCTGACGCACATAGCGAAGACAACATGGAATAAGGGAAAGAAGGAAAGGGGCGACAAATGAAACACCAGTTAGGCAAAGATGATATAATCAAAAAATCAGCCCTCATCTTTAGTCCATGAAATCACCCCGAAGGATCTTTTCCTGAAAGAAATCAGGCTTGTTCTGCTTGGGCTGTTTTGGCATCTCTCGAGCTGGCTGCTCCATTGAGGCAATCGAAGCAGCCCTCTGATGGTGATTCTGGTTGCCCATATTGACAGCATGCTGGTTTTGAGGTGAATTAGGCGATACAACGCCCAAAGACGGCGCTCGCTCGGCCCGAGTCCGCAAGGCCTCAGACCAGTTAAAGCCTTCGCCTACTTGTCGCCAAGACGGGTTAGATCTATCGTTCTGGGGAAAGGCTTTGTATGTACTTGCAACAGTTGGATTTGTGGGGCTAGGGGCAGAGGGAGGGCTGGCTAACGACGAATTGCGCCGCCCTCCAGCCGCCTGAGATGCAGAAGAGGGATATCTACCATTACCAATGCTTCCTCCACGGGCATCACGCAATGCCTGTGCACCAAAGGAGAGACGTCGAGTGAAAGGAGAGCTAGGGGTGGCATTGGGAGGTCCATTTTCGTTGTCTTCCACAACGGCTTCCTCTGGGTTTGCCGAATTGGATCCCACGGAACTAGAGATACTTCCATGACGGATGTGTCGAGGCCCAAAGGGAGACGTTTGGGTTGGGGAGCCAGAGAGTCCCAATGTGGTTATCGACAGTCGTCGTCCATGATTCGGCTGACTGCCAGCGACCGTATTGGCCATAGAGCTAGGTGGTGCACCAGCAGCCCCTTGACTCCCGGATCTCGAAAGATAATCTGAAAAGGAAATCCCGGATGCCAGAGATGCTCGACGCTGGCGCGACGAAGGGGGTGGTACGGAGATGGGAGATGTTGACCGGTCGTTTGACATGATAACAGAATTGGGTAGTCGATGGTCCCAGGATATTAATCACAAGCACAAGCACAAGTATAGAAGAAAGGGTAGATGGACGATGACAGATGGCCAAGTATAAGGCGAGAAACGATAATATCTAGTCTCCCAGACAAGGGTACCACTAGGTGGAATGGGAAATAGATATACCGAGATTTAGAGTTACTAAGATGAAGAAGAGTAGACTGAAATTGGAGATATTGATGATGAGCCTTCAAATCAATACCAGACTTATGACGTCAATCGGGTAGCCGCTTCGATAGGGAGAGCAACGGAAGAGGCAGCAGAACAACCCCCATTAAGAACCTAGATGGGAGATACCGGCAAATGTCAGTCGGAGGGAGATATTCAGCGAAGAACCCAAACTTGGGACCTTCCATGTGGCGGTGGCAAGACAATACAGTGGAAATGGTTGAGGGTGTATCTTAGGAGCAAAAGGAACGGAGAACCAAAAACCAGCGCTTGAGTGCTATGGAACGCTGCGGCAAGGGAGGAATGGATGAAAGTGAAGGGAGGTCCAGACTCAGTGCTAGTAAGAAACTAAGAAATAAATGATGGAATCACTACCGGTGTATTATGGGCTAAGCCAACAACTTACTGGGAATATGCAAACACCCAATGCTCCCCAATACCTTGAATTTATATGATGGTAGTGGTTAGGTGGGTAGTAGCTAGAATAGAGAGGAATATATGTATTGGTTCTTCTTTTGAGAATAAGATGATGGAGGGGGAAGATTCGTGAAGGAATGATTCGAAGAGGGGGTGGGTAAAGTCAGTAAGCTTTCAAATAGCCGTGGCTCGTGAAGAAGTGAAGAAGAGGGAGAAAGAGAAGAAACGAAGAAAGCCAGGCCGTAGCCGGCAGGGATCTTGGGAAGAGAAACCTGACAAACGGTTGGTGATTGAAGGGCGGAGGGATGAAGAAGAGGAGGAACGGGACGATTCCAGTGGAAAGAAGGGGGAGGAGGGGGAAAGGGAGAGAGAGAGAGAGAGAGAGAGAGCCTTTAACAACAAGAGAGCACAAGGAAAGGAATGAAAGCTTGGGAAGGTTTTACCCCACAAAACCACCTCGATTGACTCTTGACCGTGGGCCAGAACGGGTCTAGCCTTCTTGGGCAGGGTGCAGCTGAACGGTGAACCAGACAAGACGATCCGGGGTCGATGATTCATGAGTCGTTCCATCCATATACACCCAGTAATTAGAGATCATCTACAAAGTACCTTAACTTTTTACCACTGGTTCGTTCGTTCTCTTCACAACTTCACGTTGTTGAAGTAAGAGAAGGAGAAGCCGTGAGTACCTTTTATCAGCAACACTCATGAATATTCTTTCCGGTCACAAAAGTACTATTTTGGCTGTTGTTGAATTTACCCAAAAGTAGGCAAGGGTAGGAAGGATGCGGCATTCTCTGGTATGCATGGTATGCCAAAAGTACATACCTTACATAGGTACTGTTGTTCCTTGAGAATCTACCATATAAACCCGGTATGTTACGTACGGGTATTATTCTCTATGCATATTAGACTTTCGTATGTATGATGATACGGTATTGATTTTCACCTATCCTTTTGCGAAAGCACTACCGAGTACAACTGCAACTTATATTTGGAATATATATATTGATCTTGTTATGCGCTTATGAGAGCTGTGTTGGGAGCCGTGCCTTTTTATATCGAGCTAGAAAACATGCCAATACTCATATGCCATGTGTCAAGTCTGTGGACGTTTTTTTTGCTTTTCTTTTGGTCTTTTGCTTATATCCCAGACCATGTCCGTTTTTGCTTTTCTTCTAATGTAGTATAGCTTCCTATATAGATATGGCGTAAATAAGGTACGTGTACTGTCTTATCTCGGCCCCAGTGATTGAGGAGTTATTCGTATACCTCTGGTCTTTGGCCAGTCCTCAGGATGTGTTTCCTTATCCGGGAAGCAGAGGGCGTGTGGCCCTAGAGGCAGACATACTCCAGGTGAAGCATGTCCGCTTTCGACACACTCCCAGTGGGATGGAAAGGTCTCTCGGGGCAGTACCAACTTAGGCTGCAACAGTATGGCGCCGGACGATTCGTTTTTCAGCATCCCAAGCCATCTGTTCCTCCCTTCTTCTCACCCTCTGCCCTTTGTCTTTTCGCTTATGCATCTTCAAGTCTTCCTCGCGGTGGCCACATTCCTTCTCACGTTTTCTTCTGAAGGATATGCAGTGTATCCTAGCCTTGAGTCTAGTCTTGAGGCTGTGAGTGGAATAACTGCAAAAGTTTCCACCCCACCTCCGGCTCGATCTCCGTACCGTCGCGAGCGATCTTCACTTCTCGATTTGAGTTCCAGGGATTCCGCAACCCTCTGGTACGATGAAACGGAACTCGTGTAGTCGAAAGCCATCGAATTCTGAACGGCTTCCCAATCAATTGTGCCCCCATGTCTGTAGCTTCTTCCGCCTTTTCGTGAAAAACCTTCTCCTTCTCCTTCTCCTTGCTCGCACCGCTCTCATCCTCTGAGGTCTCCGCCTCCCAGAATATGGTCCCCCGCGCACTGTCGTTGATTATTCGTCCGTTAGGCGCAGTGGATGTTGCTGGAGTGGGCGTCACGTCTAGAGCCTCAGGATCAGGGGGGTTGTCCAGTCGCGAGGGCATCTCCATAGCCAAGTTCTCGTCATCTTGTATCGGCGACATCATACGGGCATATCCATAATATTCACCTGACTTATTGGCGGAAAAGATGAGATAGACATCATCAGCATTCTGCTAAGTGGTCAGCGATCTATCATTCTCCCCTGTCGACAAGATTTATCTGGTCGGGGCACAGAGCTCACCTCATAAGCCTCGTTTAGCTGCTTCTCATTATGAGTTTGAGTGGCCCAGATACTGTTCTGTCGACTGATTTCAAGGTCATCAACACTTAGGCTTTTGACTATAAAGTATCTGCTAGGGACCCGAGTGTGCGAAAGGCTATCTTCTGTAGCCTTCTTCTCAGTCACAGCGTCCGATGGCTTGGTTTCTTCATCTTGATATATAGCAGGGGTAGAAGAGCCCAAAGATTCAGTATTGGAACCCAGCGAAACAGCCCCTTGGCGTAACCGACATACAAGACGTGCTCCATGGAATCTAGAGTCGTTGAATCTTGACAATGCCGCAGCACAGGCGGCCTCCGTTTTGTAGTTGATGAATGCGCAGTTACTCTTAGAGATGAGGAAGACGCTCTCGAGTTCCTTTGTGGCGTCCTGAGAAAAGTAGTCCTTCAGGTCAACAATATTGGTACCGGGAGGAAGATTGCCGACCCACAGTGCATGTCCAGATTGCTTTGGCTTTCGCGGCGGTCCCCTTGGAGCACTTGACGTAGTGGTATTAGATGAATGCGATCCTGAGTCTGGTATACCGAAGTCATGTCAAAAACACATAACTCGCTGCTTGCATGGTCGGGCCCAGACTTACCAGCAGAAAATGTTTGAACGGGATGGGGCCTCATAGGTGTTGATCCGTCCACGATGGTCTTGGAGACGTCATATTCCAGATCCAGACGCCGTTGCTTATTTTCTTTCCCCAAGCCGGATGTCAATTTGGTTTTTGGACCCAATGTATTCCGAGGCTGAACGCGTGGCTGCACTTGCACTGGAGATGATATAGTCGGAGGACCCGGGCCGTGTCCAAGGGCTGCTGTGTATGTGGTCTGGGTGTAATAGTTTGGGCCGTATCCAGATTGGCCAGGTATATGGACATTCATGTGAGCGGCTGAATGGGGCCCCAAAGACTGGTAACCCGCCGCACCGGGAGGCAGAAGAGGGTCCTCGGGTTGCTGCTGAAGATAAGGCGTGTATACCTGATTGAAGGGACCGTTGAAGGCCATATTAGGATTCATTGGAGGCCCCGTAAATGACGGCAATGGCTGCATTGCGTATACAAGGCCGTGAGGGTGAGCTGTCGGAACAAAGGGCTGCTGAATATGATGCTGCTCATATAGGATGGAATGGCTCTGATACCCAGGCAATGCGGATCTCATGTCACGCATGCTAAGAGAAGGCGCCCCTCCCCGTGCGGCCTGTGCCATCTGGGCCTGTGATTTGGGATGTTGTTGGTCATTATCCGATCGAGGAGCTTCGCGGGAAGTGGTGATTGTCGACACTGAGCCAGATTTCAGTTCTACCAGAGATCCCACAGAGCAATTATCCCAGGTAAGAAACATACCTGATTGTGGAGGAGGCTCCTCTACTTCATGCGACTTATTGAAGGCCTGTGGTTTGGCTCCGTTCGGACCCCCCTGCGTTGAGTTCGAGAGAGCCGAAGGAGTGTCACCATTGGGATATGTCATGATAGACACAAACAAACGATAAACCCAGCACAGGCACACTCCTCCACATGATTAGTTTAATCATCTTAAATATACCTGGGGGGTTCGGAAGCCTAATGGGGGGCTGGCGAGGGACTGGTGCAACAACTTACCTTGCCCCAACCTGTGGGTTCAAGTACGCTCTAAAATTTGCGGGTAATAATTCCGCTGGGGAGCCAAGTGATGTGCCTAGGATATGCAAACACTGGTTAGAACCTTGACGGTGTCTTAAAGATTGATTACTTCCACAAAAAGTTCAGACGGTGTGCTTTGCAAAGTAAAGGGACGATGAATGCAAATGCCCACAAGCGAGGAAGACTGATAGCCTGAGGCTGCGGTAAGAAGAGACAAGAAGAAGAAGACGAAGACGAAGAAGTAAGAGGGGGGAGAAAAAGCCACAAACAACAAGAAAGGATCAATAAGAGGGTGGAAAGGCCCCCGACAACTGGGTCGCGTAAGAGGGCATGGACGAGTGGGATTACTGACTTGTACAAGCAAGAACGTGAGAAAGAAGGACGCGGAATCTACACATGAACCAATAGAACAAAGTGATGTAGGCCAGAGAGAATATGTAGAGTGAAGAAGAGAAACACTTAGACGATTATAAGAGGTTGAGCGAGCACATCAAAACACAAGGGAAGGTCCGCCTGACATCTGAGTGCTAAATCGTCGGGTTCTTTTTGGGGGCAAACAGTGCAGTTGTAGGACTGGGCGAACGAAGACACGGGGCCACTCAGTAAAAGATGCACGCACGAATCGCCGCGCTGCCTGAAGAAAAAAGGGTGGAGAACAAATCAAGCGTGGAAAGGATTATAAACGGGACAATTGGGTATCAGAGGCATAAAAAAAAAGGGAGGGGCATAGGCGGCTACGCGCACAGAGGCACGGTGCAGAACCACGACCAGGAAATAATATCCATAGGCCAGGGCAAAAATAAGACAGTATAGAAAGATGCACGAGGGGAAACAGATGGTATATAGCAGCAACTTCCAGGCTCTTTTACGCCACAGAGACCAGAAAACGAGCGTCGCGGCGAAGAGGGACGTAGGGCACAAGCACTGTGCCGTAGTGGCCCTTAATCACGCCAAAAGACGATGCGTCACTGCAAATCGAAGGGAATAGGGTGTCTGTCCCTCGAGCGCCTGTGGCAACCACCACAGAAGCCGCGTTCTCCTTCCCCCTGGTAGTTTCAGAGGTATATGAAGATTGGCAGACATTCGTGACTGTTGAGGTGGATTATCCAGGGATTGGTAGGGGAAGGCAATTAATTGCGAAAGGGTGTGTTCTCCCCCATAAGCGTTGAGCCAGGGGGGGTGGGTGGGTGAACTTGCAAAGTGAAGGGTGAAGGGAAATGAAACACCAAACAGTCCTGTGGGATCGCAACCGAAGGAAAGGAAAAAGAAACGGAAGAGGAGGGGGACAGATAAAGACGACTATCGCCAAACATACCTTAGGATGTGAACAGGCAGGGAGAGCGATGACAGAAAGACCGTGCCCCCCACGATGATAACAGAAAGAGGAGCACCCTGCAATCAACAGTTGGTGGCTTTGATGTCGGTGACGGGAGAAATAATCACGATAATAATGAATAATCCTTGTGTAGACGCACCGTAGCCAGACCTGAAGCGGAGACTATGGAGAAGGAGGGCCCTTCAGACCAACCAGGTCAGCAGAGCCCAAGTAGTCCAACGGATCTTCTGACCGTCAGAGCTCGGAAGGGCAGGTCCTTCACAGCCAGGTGGGTAAAGAAGACTATCGGAACGGAAATGAGGGCAATAATGGGCCCCCCTAGGGACGTGTTCGTCAGAACCCAAGCCAAGTCTATATTGGTGACTGGCCGGTGGTGGCGCACAGAGGATCGTGAGACCGTGAAAGCCCAATGATCTGGACTCCTGTCTCTCTGCCTTCCTCCGCCCTTCTCTCTCTTTTCTTTCTTCCCCCTTTGTGGCTGTGGCTCCCTCCAGCCTAGAGGATATCCACAGTTTGAAAATCGGGGCTGCGATGCGGATCGGGCCTTGCTTCAACGCTTTTAGTTCTTTTCCCATGCAGAGGCCCAATCAACTACCACACACGATCGACAACAAGCTCGATCCCGATCTTTTCCCGGAAATTTCACCCAGACACAGGCAAGAACAAAAATGTGGTTTGCTCGTACCGGGGATCCGGAGGGAAGAGAGGTAGCGAAAAAGGCGCCGATGAAGTCAGCTGGCCACCAGAAGTAGAGGCCCTCTCGACCTATTTTATTTTTTTTTTTTTTCGCGATTTTTCAAGATGATTGTGGATGCACAAGGAAGACAAGAGTCTAGGGGAAGGTTGAGGATGGAAAAGGTACAATGGAAAAACAGGGGTTGGAGGCACAGGGAAAGATAGGACGGGGAAAATCAATACCACAACCACAACCACAACCACAAGAAATAATAATAATAGCAATAATCATAATAATAACAACAACAATGATAACAATTGTAGTAATGGCAGTAATCGTAGTGATAGGAGAATCAATCAACGAGAATAGAATAAAACAGACAATAATGGGAATGGAGAGGAGAGCATCCACATGGGCAGAAAGAAAAAAAAATATAAGGAAAAGGAAAAGAAAGGAATAAGATGAACAAGATGGAGATAGAAAGAGAGTATACTCCAATCACACTGAGCGGGAAAGTGGCTCACTTCAGGAAGAAGGCCCGGAAAGGTGGCATGTCTTTCCCCCCCTCCCCAAAAAACGACGAAACAGCCACATTCATTGAGAAATGGGGACTGCGTCGTGCTTAGGGTTACTTGGGTTAAGTCAAAAGGTCATTTGGCAAGAGGGTGAAATGGACGGTCTCGATGGCATCGATGGCTTTTGTGGGAGGCCATGATTGGGTACCGGAATTCTGTCCCCAGCCGGTGGAATCCATGGATCTTCCTCTGACAGTTTAAAAAAGGGATTGCCAGTGATATTGCGAGGACCCAAAGAGGCGTAGCCAAGCCGCTTTGGTGGTATGAGTTAGTAGTAGGTAATGTTGTAGTAGTAAATGACAATGCTGGAAGGTGGCAAATTCGAGAGGGTCCTGCATGTACTGGTTCCGAGCGTTTGATGGGCCTTAGCCCGAGGTGCATGCGTGGCAGTGACCATCGGGATTGACAGCTGCAGGAGATTTATAGCTCCAGAAAAGAATTGATCTACAGCGCGACACCACTCGCCAGCATGTGTCTTTTTTTTAATTTTGTTTGCTTTTCTTTTCTTTTTGTTCCGTGGTTACAGCTGCCCTTAGGTCTGTGTCGACGGCGGTCACTAAAACGACGTACTTAGTACTAGTAGTAGTAAGCTGAAGATCGGGGTTTCTTATTGGATGATCGGAGGATCTAGGCAGCGTTTAAGAACTTGGGATGCATTAACAATCAACATCATAAGGAAGAGAAACTGGACCGAAGTGTGTGGCGATTGCAGATTCCAGAAAAGCTAGGTAGATAACTTTGCAGGTCTAAGGTTCCTTGAAACATTTACCGAAAAGAGAAGATGGCAATAACGAAAGATAATAATAGATAGAGGGAAACGGAACGTGAATGGAGAAAAGACCAGATGAGTTTCGGGGGAAGACCGTTCGGGAAAGCGACATGCAATTGGAAAGGGGAAAGAAGTGGGGAGGACAGGGAGGGGTGTGCAGTTTGGGGAGGGAAAGAAAACCGTATGAAAAGAGAAAAAAAAATTAAAAATTAAAAATAAAAAGGGAATAAAAGAAAAGGTAAAAGGAAACAAAAACCACTGGCCCGTGTGCATACACACTTCTTCAGGTTTGTTGCTCTGCTGTGTTTGGGGAGGGGGGCGTGGAAGAATAGTAAGAGAGAAACTTAACTAGCCACGGCCAGCCCTAAGACCAAATAGACTGGAGGTGGTGGGGAAATAAGAACAAGGCATTGGTGATACTGCGTACCGTGATTGTCGAAGCTCCAGACGGTGTTCGGGATGGGTCACCCAAATCCCGTCATGGTCCATGGCTCATTGTTATGCGGGATCAAGGATCGGTTCACCTCATAACTAGTCATTCTGAAAGCTGATAGGAAGGAAAAGAGAACAACGGGGAGCGATTGTGGAGGCAAAAGTTGGGATGGGGGTTACTGTGAAGAGAGGGAAAAACAGAAACTGAAAATAAGAAAAAAGAAAAAAAAAAAGAACGAAGTAGAAGAATGCGGCGTTTGTCTTCATGGACTTTATTTTCTTCTTCTTTTTCTTTCTCTTTTCCCCCCCCCCCCCCTTCTAGTACCTTAAAAGAATAGTATATAATAACGGACTCATTGTAATTGTAATAATAATTAATGGATGGTGATAGCGAAAGCTAACCTTAGTACAAAATAGTCTGCCACCTGACCAGGCAAGGGTACTACTACATTCCCACTAGGGCCCGATCTCCATCCCGCCCAGTGAGCATTACCTCCTACCTACTACTGTGTACAGCGTCGAAACAACCACTCCTGCTGCTCGGCTTTCTGCGGGAGTTGTGGCACGTATGCAGCCCATCCCTTCCCCCCCTTTTCTTTTGGTTGTGGCTGCAGGCCCTGTAGGTTATGAAAGCCTCTATAGGGATGCGATCATCCTGCAAAATTGTTCTGCCTGCATCGTAACCACAAAATGAAGTAGCTTTGGTCCTCTACAGTAGTATACTTTGAACTATGAAAAGTCCTTCCTTTTTTTTTTTTTTTTTTTTTTCTCCTATTTACTCAGACAAGGGAATTAGAACAAAAGTAACTAGTGCTGTGTAGAGGATACGGATTTAATATAAGTGGCCTCTCAAAGTAGTAGTGAAAAATCCGGCACTGTTGCCCCTCTATGCAATACATCAAGTACTTATATTGTCCTCCGGGTCTCCAAGGTTAGCTACTGTAGTACTTTCATCGTCTGCATGGGAATATTGCACTTCTAGTACGTACCAAGATTTAAAGTCCGCTCAATCTGTGGTACTGGGACTTAACATTTGGTTCTCCCGCTGAACTGGTTATACTTTATATATATTAGCCTGTTTCGCTTTTACCGGCTGCTCCTCGTCGGTTCTTTCTTCCGTCGCCTGGAGCTTCTGATCTCCCTTAATCCATTCTTTCCCACCTCCACCCCCTTCTTGTGTCTTGGTTCCTGCTTTTTTTTTTTTACTATTATTCGCTTCTTCTCTGCTGATAGCGATCCTTTTACCCGTTCCTGAATCCAGCCCCGTCCTTTGAAACACTGTCTATTTCCTATTCGGTATCTGGAAATTTGTGGCACCGCATGTACCGGCTTCGGAAGGCTCCACACCTGACTTGGGGGACCGGATGGGATACCAGCCAATCAATGCAACACCACTTCAACTTCATATCGTCCTTTTCCGGAAACCCCTTGGTCCAATCCGAGCCGCCACCAGCGGCGTGGCTGGGTCCTTCGTAGCATATGTCGCGGTCAGCACCATGGCAAAAACCCCCCACTATCAATACTTTTCCGAGCTCTCTTTCTTTCAAAAAAATTTTTTTTTTTTCCCACTTCTCGTCTCCTTCTAGCCCCAGGCGCGTCTTCTGCCGGGGCCACTGTCGTTATTCTACTTGATTATTTTATTTTGACTTTTTCACTTTTCGGGGGTTGACCCCGAACGGTTGTATGAGTCAAGCAACCACAACTAATTAGTAGATACAGTCTCCAATAATCAAACCCAGGATGGGAAAATGGACGAGTTTGCTAGGGTGCAGAAGTCCGGCGCAGAACCAATGATAGCTGCAGGAGGCTGCTGACGACGGTGCTCCTAAGGTCACGCTAAGCGGCAGCTTTGTTGAAGTGGAGATCGTGCTGTCTTCTGCGACTTGAGACCTGAATTCGTTGAAGTCGTTGAAACTGTCTCATCATGAGTGGTAGAGCTGGAGAAAGACAGCAAGGCTTCTCTAAAGGGCCCTTTGGCCTTGTTGGGTGCTTTCATGCCTTTTGGTACATGGCGTGTCCTTCAATCCAAGCTCCGACCGGGAACCTTTTCTGAGATGCAAGGAGACTTCCAAGGAAAAGGGACGATCTTCTGTATAGGCTACCTTTATATCCATAAGTATTAATACCAGAGGAGTGTGCCAAAGTGACTCTTTCATAACGATAGTTCTATAGGTGGTCTGGGATGTCAGTCGACACAAAGCTACTGTGTGATGCGTGACAAGAGTACTGCTCTCATGGCCTTGTTAGGATGCCTGAATGGTGCCCAAATGCTCAAATTTTCTATTAGTCGCTGAATGTTAGCATTTGAATACATCTATTCTGTACCTATACCTCGGTATTGAGATAATAGATATCAGCGAGCAGGGGAATCAGTGTACACAATACTATTCGCGTGGTTACCGGTTTAGATACGACTAGAAACCCCCAGACTGGGTAAGTAGTCATAAGTACTCACACGTACCACTAGTAGATACGTAAGCTTAATATCCTAGTATAGGATACTCACTGTCTAGTAGAGATGATGCTCCAGTTCCAATTGGTAACCACACAATCTCTTCGCCAGAAATCTTCCGGCCAGAATTCCATGGCATCAATAAAATGTTGACGCCCTTTTCTGATATGGGAGAGATTCCCGAGAATCGATCGTTCCAGAACCTCCCCAACAGCCTCAAAGCTTCAACCATGGCGAATCAGCAGCAGCCTCTACCTACCTTTCTACCACATGGAATTTGCCTCGAGCCTCCCGAAAGAAACAAGATGGTCAAAAGGGAAACCAGTCGATAATGATCTTAACGATGGGTTTCACACAGTGTCACCCTTTACCGAGCCATTGGCTCGTTCACCTAAGGCTGTGTAATCACTAAGCATGCTTCTCCGGCCAGCTTTGCAGAGCCATCATGCATGCTCCAACCAGATGATGCACCCACCCAGGATTGAAAGCCCCTCTTCCCTTTCACCATTCTTGGTATCTGATCAGTCTGTTGGAGAAATGTTTGAGATACACAACACAGGGTCTGCACCCACTTAGAATATGCGGATTCTTCATCCGTCTCGGCTATCATTCTGTTCCCGCTATACGGAGTTGTGAATTGTCACGACTATCACTGCCATAACTCACCAGAAAGATGGAACCATTCGGCCCATTGCAGGCCAATTTTGAGCTATGAACTAAACTCCTGTTGCATTAGCACGGACCCATCCAATCTCGGTGAAGCCCCATTCTGTCGACTGTGCCTGGTACCTTACTATGGAAGTAGGGGTGGTGGATGATACGATAGGTATACAGTGGTCTCAACAATGAGTGATTCATGCACATCATGTACACTGTATGGCATGATCGATCAATCTCTCTCACAGAAAGGGGTGAAAGTGGAATGGAATTTGCCACCCAAGAGGAGGAGACAGACAGATGGAAACCAACTCCATCATGGCGGGGATTGACATGGGACTAGCCAAGTGGGTAATGGATGTGTGTGTTAAGTGTGTGGGTGTTTTGTGTGCTGCGTGTGTGCGTGTGTTGTGTGTATGTGTGTGTGCGTAGACTGACTTGAATGCATTATTCAAAGCACACACCACAAAGGAGCTCTTCTCCTGCCCCCTCCGCCCGCCGCCGCCCGCCCCCCCCCCCCCCCCCCCCGGGGGCTTGCAAACCACAGACCATCCAAACAAGCTCCCCCCTCCACTCCAATTCCTCCAATTCATTGAATTGTTCTTCGCCCCAAATTGAATCTCGAGATCATTCCCGACCAGGTGAGGGGGCTTGGAATCTCATCGAAGGAAAAGATTGACCGCGATCGTCCGTTTCTTTCCACCGCGGCTGCCTTCTCGAACGCCACGCCGAAAGCAAATGAATATGACGTCATCGAATGCTCTTGAATGGGGCCGCGAACACCTCGCATCCTCCAGCCTTCTCGTACCCCCTCCTCTACGGCCTTTGTTGATTCGAGCATTCGGAAAATGAGAAAATAGATGTGGGATCCCTACAGCCATGGCGTCGGTACCTCTGCCTGACTATGAATAACCCACCAATTGGTACCGGGAAAACGCTGGACAATCTTACCACGGGACGAACGATCCGCTCATCGATTTCATCATCGGCCGACTAGAAAAAAATCAATATACATGGCCCTGAATAACTATGCATGACCGCATCCGATCCGAGTTTTAGGAGGGAAGGTCTGACTACGGTACACAGCACACTCAGGTCCAGCGCCGACCCTGCCACTCACTCCATAGCACGAAATCCCAGGCTCGTCTCCACAAACGGGAAACGCCATCTCGCCAGCTCATCCCCTTTGAAGTATTAGGCGCTGCGGTGGCTTGTGTAGAGCTACTGCGATCGTCCAATGGGGGCGTCGGTGGCTCTGTAATTCGCACGAGGGGGGCCAGATAGTGATGCCTGTCGCCGACATCATGCGCGCTTATCAACTCGGCTCGGCGGCGGCATGTGTCCCTTCATCCGCCAGGACCGCCAGGCAGGAGGATCATCCTCATCCTGTCGGATACCAGTCACACCGAAGCACACAGGTCAACTATGGTGGCAAAAGCTCATTGCAGAGGCTGCGCCAGCTGATTACCACCCCCTGTTCAATCAGAACTCTCTTACAATGGATTCGCGTGCGCAGCTTTCTCTCATCATGGGCAAGGGCTCCACTACTATTGTGGGTGGTCATGCTACGATAGGTTTCTTCTCAGCCGATGTCTTAGCCTTCTTTCTACGTCGCATAATGGTCTGCTCACCGTGTTCCACCATCTTGCCGTGTTTCTGTGCCACTTCATTCTCGATGGCGTTGGATTCGGCCTTCCGGCCTTCTTCACATCCAAAAGGGCGAGCTCCATTCCGCCATATTTCGAAGGATTATGACCGCGTGGCGCAGTCCACCCTATGTGTGAGATTTTTGCGAGGCGAGGCGACTGCTCTGGATCTAGCTTTCCCTGGGAGTGTTCATTTTAAGTTACCTACGAGCCATGG